GGATGCAGGGAATCTTTTCCCAGTTTCCACCCCAACTGGGATCCCTGGCAGGAAATCCTTTCCCATCCCATATTACCCCAAATGGGATCCATGGCAGGGAATCCTTTCCCACCCCGTTTCCATCCCAAATGGGATCCCCGGCACGGTTCCTGAGGAGATTTTTGAGGGGTTGTGAGGGTTTTCTTGAGGGTTTTTTGGGGGATTATGAAGGGTTTTTAAAGGATTTTTTTGGTGAGGGGAGGTGAAGACTTTTTTGGGGGGCTTATGAGGCGTTTTTTGAGGGGTTTTGAGAGGTTTCATTGGAGGTTTATGAGGCGTTTTTTAAGAGGTTTTAAAGGGGGTTTTTTGAGGGTTTTGAGGAGTTTTTTGAGAGTTTTTTTGGGGGGTTATGAAGCGTTTTTTAAGGGGTTTTGAAGGGGTTTTTTTGAGGGTTTTGAGGCGTTTTTTGAGGGTTTTTTTGGCGGGGTTATGAGGTGGTTTTTTAAGGGGTTTTGAAGGGGTTTTTTGAGGGTTTTGAGGCGTTTTTTGGGGAGGTTTTGAGGGTTTTTTTGGGGGGCTATGAGGTGGTTTTTGAAGGGGTTTTTCCGAGGGTTTTGAGGCGTTTTTTGGAAGTTATGAGCGGTTTTTAGGCCGGCAGCAGCTCCGAGCTGACAGTGCCACCTGCTGCCACCAGGCTGGGGACAGCGACAGCGACAGCTCGGCCCGGGACCCTCCCAAATTCCCAGCACAGCCCTGAGCCACAACCCTCAAAAAAAAAAAAAAATTAAATTACACCTAAAAATCCCCACCCAAAAACCCTCAAAAATCCTCACAAGCTCTACAAAAACCCCCTCATAATCCTCCCAAAACCCCTCATAACTCCCCCCAAAACCTCTCTCCAAAATATCCTTGCAAACGCTTAAAAAACTCCTAACCCCCCAAAAAATCCCTTAAAAAACCCTTCATAACCCCCCAAAAAAACTCAAAAATCCCTTCACAAATCCTCAAAAAACCCTCGTAACACCCAAAAAAACATCACAGCCTTCAAAAGACTCCTCACAACCCCCTGAAAATCTCACAAACCCTCAAAAATCTCCTCTTAACGCCCAAAAAACCCTCACAGCCCTCAGAAAAACTCTCAAGAAACCTCTCAGAACCCCCCCCAAAAATCTCCTCACAAACCCCCAAAAATCTCCTCACAACCACCAAAAATCTCCTCAGAAACCCCCAAAAATCTCCTCACAACCACCAAAAATCTCCTCACAAACCCCCAAAAATCTCCTCACAAACCCCCAAAAATCTCCTCACAAACCCACAAAAATCTCCTCACAACCACCCAAAAATCCTCAAAATTCCCCCCAAAGGGTTCCAGGCCTGAGAACCAGAGAGAACCTGGGGAGAGCCCCGAAGTTAATCATGTTTTTTATTAAATATACATCCTCTCTTGGCACAAATCGTAAAATATATAAACATTATATAACAAAGTGTCTTCACTGCAATAAAATAGAATCCAGATCCAAGAAAAGCCGTCAAAATCGACACACACACATCGATGGTGAGGGCACGGGAAAAGGCAATTAACAGTGTTTGTGCTAATTAAGAGATGCATAGAACACACGGGCAGTGACCGGTGCTGGGGCACCCTGCAGCTCGTGGTGATTTTGGGGGGAAAACATGG